TAAAGTGAACTACAGCTGGATGGTTACGTGCAACTCCGACAACGACATCTACGTAGTACAGCACTTCGCTCCAGGGTGCATGGGCACGTCAGACGGCACCGACCGCCAATCCGGAACTTATACACCCAACACCGGCGGCTGCACAAGCCCCATGTGGATGGAGGGGAGGGGGAGCATGAACGCCACCCTTGGCGCCGGCGACTGTGGCACCACCACAACAACAACGACTACGACGACTACGACTACCACCACGACAACAACAGGAAATGACACGACGACAACAACTGGCGCAGCAACGACATCAGGAAGCAGCGGTTGGGGCAATTTGCTACCCAACCTTGCGGCCGTGGCCTTGTCCTTCCTGGCCATGTATTGAGCGGAGGTTTGTGGCCATGTACAGAGCTGAGGCCAACCACTCATGTTGCAAGCACCAATAAAGCAGCCGATTCAAACCAATCCCCATGCATTGGAGATGAGCGGTGACCTTAATCTTATCGCAGCTATGATTATGGAAAGCAGGGACTGGCCAGCATTGGAAATCCTTAAATCTTTTCCAGCGAGTTGTCAGTGATCTGGTTCGTGAAATAGTTTGTGATATGGATTTGCCGATTCACGTTTTAGAGGAAAACAACTATGACCATAGCTGGCATAACGGTTACCAATTTTCTTCGTTTCTTCCTAACGGTCGTCATGATTAGTATTAGCATTGCTGATCATTACTGTTCTCCCTGTTGCGAGAACCAAGTGTGGGGATTGTCTTGATGCTCAAGAGCTGCACACAGAGCCTGGCACCACGATTTCACGGTTCAAGTAGTTCCACGCGCGAATGACTGGATGCTATCCGTTTTGAAGGGAACGACCTAAACACGAATTGACGGAAGGAACCCAGTTGCGCGTTTGACGTATCTTGATCAAGCCTAACAAACGGGTGGGCTGCAACTGCGCAGAGAAGAAAAGGTCCTTGCGGTCGTGATCTCTGTTGTCGGTCTGATCAGCATGCTGTCCATTACATGGTTCTTCCAACCAGTAATTACCGCTACGCATGGCGGTCCGAAGAAGCCCCATCAAGCCTTCGAGTTTATAATCTTTTAATGCACTATACTATGCCATACATACTGTACTATACTATGCGATAAGATGCGGTACTGTTCTCTTCTATACTATACTCTACAAAACTCTACAAACTCTACAAAACAGTACAAGACTCTATTATACTCTACCATGCCCAGAAAAATTGAACTCTACTATACCATACTATACCCTACTATACTATACGACTCCATGCATGAATAGCGAAAGAGATCTTTTGAGGCCACGGTGAAGCTTATAACTGCTTATAACCCCACTTAAGGTACTTATAACCTTACTTACTAAGTCCCACGATCCTTCAAGTAGAGCTTAATCCCTAAACTCTATAGATCCGTATAGATCCCTTTAAGGAGCCCTTAAAGGAACCGAACTTACAAAGTCCCACGATCCTTTAAGTACCCGTAGACCCTTATAGAACCTTTATAGAACCCTTACAATGACCCATATAGGTCCCTTAAAGAAGGATTTATAATACCAACTACCTTACTACGTCCCATGTTCATATACGATATTGTATGCTGTCTGATACAATACTCGGATTAACTCCTTGATTAAGAGCGCAGAAATCCTTTGAGGCCACTGTGAAGCTTCACGAGCTCCTCGCCGGCTCCGAGGTCGTCGATCGATGCGAGGTTCGGGCGGTTTCGGGTTTAGGCTAGGGTTTTGGGGTTTAGGTCTTTTAGGTTTTAGGGTTTAGAGCTCCACAGTGGCATCAACTTAAAGGATCATGGGACTTAGTAAGTTAGGTTCCTTTAAGGGCTCCTTAAAGGGATCTGTAGGGATCTAAAGGGCTTAGGGATTAGGCTCTACTTGGGAGGATCGTGGGACTTGGTAAGTAAGGTTATAAGTACCTTAATTGGGATTATAAGTATAGTCACGCTAGGTATAACACTGGTTACTAAGTCCCATGATCCTTTAAGTACCAGGGAAGGGCGGGTGTACGGTTTAGGGATTTAGGGTTTGGGGTTTAGGGTTTGGGGCTTAGGGTTTGGGGCTTAGGGGTGTGGGGTTTAGGGTTTGGGGCTAAGAGGTCTGGGGCTTAGGGTTTGAGGGTTTGGGGCTTAGGGTTTGGGGTTTGAGGGTTTGAGGGTTTGAGGGTTTGAGGGTTTAGAGTTGGGGGTTGATGGTTTGAGGGACAGGGTTTACGGTTTGGGCTTCAAGGGGGAGCAGAGCAGAGGGCAAGAAGAAAGGGTCGAGGGCTTCGGGTTCATGGGTTTAAGGGTGTTGTGGTTTGGCATTTGCGAGTTGGGTGTCGAAGGGTCTGAGGGCTCAAGGGGTTTAGGATTTTAGTTTGGAGTTTGTGGGTTTATGGGCTTAGGGGTCAATTGCTGGGGCCCAGAGATAAAAGGGACTTTCTAGGGTGCTAAAGAGGGCCTTAGAGCTTAGGGTTCAGGATTTCGTTTGGGGTGTAGGGTCAGAGGATGCCCGTGTTGCACAAAGCGCTGGGGCTCGTCCTTTGGTTTTAAGGAGGCTTCGGTGTGGTTCCCTCAACCCGAATCCCTAAACCCCGAACCCCTAAAACCCCCCGAATCCCCCGAACCCACCGAACCCCCCGAACCCTGAAGCCCTAGACCCTAAACCCGAAGCCGTAAAGCATTCGGGTGGGGTTTGGATTTCGGACATTATGGGTCAAGGTAAACCCTAAATCTAGGTAGGGCTTTGGGACATTTTATATTTCCCTTATTGGGCTTAAGAGGATCTTATTTACTATTTTTTCAACGGCTTTAACAAAGCCCCACCTAGTAAATGCAAAACCCACATGCTACAGCTCATATTCGCACTGAGTGTGCTGTCGTCCCAGGATCCCGTTCTCGATGAGGCGGGCTGTTTTTTCGCTTAGGGTTGAGGGTTTTGGGGTTGAGAGTTTGGGCAGCGTAGTTGGGATTTTTGTCAAGACTTTGTACAGGGTTTATGGGGTGTGAGAGGATGTAGACCGAGCCACGACAGCTCCGTTCACACAGTACTCTATAACTTAGTATGGTAAGGTATATCAGGTGCTCATGACAAGAGCAATGAATGTTTACTGCTGTAGCCCAGGACTCCAGACTTTTGGGATCGAGGGTTTGGGACTATTATTGGAAGTATTTTATAATGAATCATCACCTTTAACATTAATATCATTATTACCATCATTATCATTGTCATCATCAGCACTATTTTCAAGTTAGTTAGTATCATTGCCATCATTATTGTCATCATTATCATTGATGGCGTTATTAGCTAGGTACCCTTAATCTCTCATGGACACGGGGAACCCGGGTCTTGCATCTCACAGAAGCGTGTCCAGGCTTTTCGGATTTAGATTTTTGCCTCCACTAAGCCCAAAGGCTCCAAAATCCCCTAGTTGAGGGAATATCCCTAAGGTTCCTTATAAAGGGTTCCTTAAAGGGATCTATAAGGGTTCCTTAAAGGGAATTCGGGAATGTACTGTAAATCAGGGTTCGAGCCCAGATCCCCCAACAGCTGTAGCTCCCTACGGAAGATCCCTTTTGCAACGAATGCCCTGAACCCGAAGCCCAGACGCCCAAACCGTAAACCAGAAACCCTAAGAAGGCCTAAACCCTAAACCCCAAACCGTAAACCAGACATCCTAAAAAGGCCTGAAGCCCCAAACCCCAAAACGTAAACCAGAAGCCAACAAAAAGGCCTAAACCCTAAACCCCAAAACCCCAAAGCCTAGACGCTGAACTCAACACCCTAAACACCCCAAAACCCTAAACCCTAAACCCTGAACTTAAAACCCTAAGCCCTACAACCGAGAGCCAGATCAGGAGGGCCGTCCACTGTCGGAGCTGGACGAGATGCGGGCGAAGTCCCAGGAGACAGAGTTCTGAGAACAGGCCAAAGAGTGTTTAATACCGAAGGCTTTAGCCTTCCACAGTGGCAGGTTTGGGTTTAGCAGGGCTTAGGATTCCACAGCAGCAAGCAGAAGCCGCTGCTGCTGATGCTGCTGCGCCTGCCGCTGCTTCTACTACTACTACTACTACTACTACCACTACCACTACCACTACTACTACTACTACTACTACTACTACTACTATTATTATTACTACTACTACTACGACGACTACTACTACTGCTGCTACTACTACTCCTACTCCTACTACTACTACTACTACTACTACTACTACTACTACTACTGCTACTGCTACTGCTACTGCTACTGCTACTGCTACTGCTACTGCTACTGCTACTGCTACTGCGACTGCCACTGTTACTACCACTGCTACTGCTTTTGCTGTTGCTACTGCTGCTGCTACTGCTGCTGCTACTGCTACTGCTGCTGCTGCTACTACTACTACTAACTACGACGACGACCACCACCTCCGACATGGCTCATCATCCTGATCCTCCTCCTCACGTTCTTCGTTGTCCCAACAGTGTGAAAAAAAGTTCGACTGCCGCAGCTGCTCAAATTTGGGACCATCGTCCGTAGAGAAGCCAAAAAGGCTGAGAGCGTCTTGGTGGCAAGGCTAGTTGTTAGGAAATTTGCGGCTTTTGCTCGGCTTGTTTCTGGGTTTTGGGTTTTGGGGTTGTGAGATTTGTGTAGACAGCTGTGTAAACGGCAGGAGGTTCCGAAAAGCTGTGGGATGTTAATGCTAGAGCTTCAAGTTGGAGTGTACATACCGGTTTTCTGTTTCGTGTGACAGGGCCCAGTGCAATCCGTTTCACCTCAAAGACTTCGGGTTTCGGGTCGAGAGTTAAGGCTCAAGGGTTTTAGGGTTTAGGGTTCAGGCTGATTGTTGGTTTAGACTTCGCAGTCATATACTATAATGAACTATAACATAAGAAAATCGTACTATAACTTATTAGAATATACTATAATATACCATACATTGCCATGCTATTGCAGGCTGATTGTTGAGGGAAACCGCAAAGCCAACCCGCACCTCATCGCCGTTTTGCCGAGGATGGCGTTCAACGTGGAACTCCAGGCGGTGTATGATCGGTCAGGGGTGCGGACCTTCTCAATCCTCAATCCTCAACCAGAAACGTCCCTTAGCGTCTTGGGGCTTAGGGTGTAAGGGTCTTGCGTCTCTTACGGCCTTAGTGGGGTTTGGAACTAGTCGGGCGTAGCTTTCGCGAATGCGGGCTAGAGACGATGTGCCTTTGATAGTACCGGCTTCTCTCTGATTGTGAAGTCCCTAGACCGCAAAGACCGAAAGAGACGAAGATTCGAATCGTAGAATTAATATAGGGGCCTGAATAATTTGAGTAAGGTTTTTGGCTATAACATACTTATAATAAGCGGTTTGGGCTATAATATACTTGTAATAAGAGTTTTGGGGTATAATACATTCATAATAAGTAACCCCCCAAATAGACTTGGGAATTATTTCGGCCCCTAGATTACCCGGCCCACAGACTCCTCCAACAACGACATCTGCGATCCCACCAGAGCCGTAAAGGACAAAGCGCACAACAACCCCTCTGACCCAATGACCTAGGAGAACCCAGACCCACAGAAACATCCAAAAATTAGATCCCTTAAGGGGGTTCCTGTAAGGTACACTCTAGTAGTTAGGGCCCCAAGCTACGGGATAACAACTTTAGATCCTGCCGGGGGTCTGGGAAGCGACTCAAAACTCTGAAGCCGAAATCGCTGGGCCTCTGTACCCTGAAGCCGATGCCCGATACGTCCACAGACCCTAAGCCATACACCCTAGATCGATTATCGTCACTACCCTAAACGCCACACCCAAAACCTCTAAACCCTAAACCCCTTAACCCTAAACCCCTTAACCCTAAACCCCGAAACCCAACACTTCTGAATCTCTCCCGAACTTTGCCAAAAGGTGCGGCTGAAGCCGGGAGAGGCTCCCAAGCCCCTGGGCGCAAAGGGTTCACTGAGGGGCGTGTTCGGTAGTATAGGTTTTAGGTTTCAGGGTTCAGGGTTTAAATATACTACTTCTGAGGACTGAGGAGTCTTGAAAATCTCGGTAGTGCAAGCTACGCCCCAAGCCTACTCCAGTCTGTGTCAAACGTCAACCGCTTGAAGCCTTCGAGTCCGCTAGATGCTGCCAATATAGGTGGTTGTCAAAATTAGGGTCCCTTTGTGGGTCCTTATTGTAGTATGTACGGCACCAAATATGTAAGGTACCCAAAAAGGGGCCCTAATTTTGATAATTACCCATATGTTTGCTACTATAGCATCTTCCGTGCATCATGTTAGCTCAGGTTGTGTTGTCACTGACCATGACACTTTCTGTTTTTCTAGGCTGAGGCAGATGATACTTTTGGCGAAGATCGTTTTGAGGGCCAGAGTTCGGGCTCACAGCAGTTCCAGGCACGTCTTATCTTGAACTACCACAACTTACGCATGCGGGTGTCGCAGTGGCATACGGGGTCGCAATAAATTTGTGTTGAGGGCTTATCTCGGGACCCTCGGAAAAGCAGTTATGATAGTTGAAACGGAGGGCGTCGGGTTTGGGACTACGATGGATCAGGGCATCGGAAGGGAAGGATGCTGGGACTGAAATGAAAATATGAAAAGCCCCGAAACGTCTCTACGTAAAGGGTAGCAGACCCGATTGATGAAGCCCAAAGCCCTAAACGGTAAACGGACCCGATTGATGAACTTACCTTTGGTTAGCAGGGAATGGAGGAATGGGGTACACTTATAACTACTATTACTACCATTCTTCCATTCCCTACTAACCAAAGGTAAGTGAAGCCAAGGCCTTAGCAGACCCGATTGATGAAGCCCTAAGCCCTGAACCCTAAACCCTAACAATTGATGAAGCCAAGGCCTGTGCTGTTGGAGGTGCACCCCGATTGGGCGCCCAAGGGCTGTGAGCGCTTCAAGCAGCTCGTGGAGCAGCCTGGGCGAAATCTTCGAACCCGGTTTCGGCTTTTGGGTTTCGGGTTTGGGGCGCTGAAAAGAGTTTAGGGTTTAGGGGTCGGTTTAGGGCCGTTTAGGGTTTAGAGTTTCGGGTTGAGTGCCCTAAATCCCAAAACCCTACCTACACCGTGTAGAACCCACATTCTTAAATACTTAGCCGCAGCCCGAAACCCTAAGCCCTAAACCCCAAACCCTAAATATCATTAACCTCATAGGAGGCCAAAAGGGGTTTTAGCTTATGGGGGTTTAGTAGGGCTTAAGGTTCCCATAATAGGGTTCATATTAAGGAATCCCTACCCCAAGAATCTTAAACCCCCTTTTGGCCTCCCATCAAAACCCACTTCTCCGAGGTCCGGATTCTACACGGCCGCCCGCTTCCACCGCGTTATCCCGAGCTTCATCGCCCAGGCCACTGGATTTAAAATTGAAGCCTTGCTTAGGGTTCAGGGCTCTTGGGTCCATACTCCGCAACACTGTTTGCAGTGAGCACTTTATTCGTATATGTGTGAACACGCGGCCATGCTTCCAGGTTCTTTTTTGGTCTGTCTTGGGTTGTCTAGGATTTGAAGGTTTTCAAGAATTGGAGGCTTTCAGGTTATGTAAGGCCTTCAGGTTGTAGGATTTAGGGCTTCAAGCTTTCAAGGGGGTTAGGTTTTTTAGATTTTGGATTTGGGGCTCTAAACGGGCTCAGGGGTTTGAGATTCTTTCAGGTCTAGGCTCACAGTGACATCCACATGTCGAAGGGCTTTTGGGAGGGGTTGGGGGCTTTTTGGATCGCAAGCGGCTTTGGGAAAGCCCAACTGGCGTATACCCCAAAGCCTACTCCCTAAAGCCTGCAAATCGGAAGGATGTGCCATCAGTGTCCCTATGTATCTCTACTGACTCATGTATGACTTACTCTGACTTTCCTATGCCATACCCGGATAACCGTTTTCTAATTGTCTAACGCCCTATATAATGCTTCACCTACACCTTTGCTCAGCAACAGGTGGGCATTGCCGCGGATCCGGCAGTGTCCTGGCCGAAAGCAGCTGGTGTTTCGATCCTAGCCCTTGCTTACTTGGAGGTTCATGGCTAGTTGTAAGTGGGGTATAGAAGGGGGTTAAGTAGGGTAACTATAATAGTTATATTAAGGCACCGATAGCCCCACTTATAACTACCCATGACCCTCCAAGTAGGGGCCTTTGAAGGTTCCCACAGGCTGAAATACCATTAGAAAGGATGGCCGATCTTATGTAGGGCTTCACAGGATGATTCCAGGTACATGGCTTAGCTCGGCGTTTTGGAGTCTCGAAGGGTGCTGCAAGTTTTTGTGCTGGCTGTGGTTCTTGCGCTTTACACGGGCTTGGTCCCATGTTAGGGTAAGAGGGATGGGGGCTTGGGGTGCAGCGGGCTTAGTGCAGGAATTTCGAGCCTCCATTAACCCTAAATCCGCGTTGCGTAGCCTGCTTTTTGGAAGCTGATTCCACTGAATGCACCTTTCCATGTTCAGGGCATAGGGCCTATGCCCTGAACATGGGTGTGTCATAGATCGTGAGCAGACGAGGTCTATGCAAAATGGGGCAACAGCCCAATACCAGATGATCCTGTGAAGGACCAAGCGGTTTAGAGTTTAGGGCCTACTTGGAGGCCCTGTAGACTTAGTAAGTCTACTTAGTATCCCCTAGAAACCCTATTATAATCCCCATAGCCCAGCTTACTAACCCTACTTACTAAGTCAAAAGGGCCTCCAAGTAGGGTTCGGAAGGTTGAAGGTCCGGGTTTCGATGCTTCCGCAAGGCACCTTCCACACTTCAAGTTAGTTCTGTGGTTCCGCAGGTGCCTCCTCTGCAGTCCCTAGGGAGGAATTAGAGAGCCCTCGCAGCTTCGAGCATCAGTTTAAAAGCTCGTGACGTACGTGGGTTCTTCAAGTTGCTGTGTGCAGCTTACATTCGCTCAAAACACCACCCGAAACCCTAAACCCCGAAAGCCGAAAGCCGAAACCGTAATCCCGAAACCCTAAAACCTAAACCCGAAACGCTAACCCCTAAACCCTAAACCCAAAACCCTAACTCCGCAGCCCTAATCTCTAAGCCCGAAACTCTAAGCCCTGATTCCGATACCGTTACTCCGCAACCCTAAACTCTAAACCCGATACCCTAGACCCTATTTCCGAAACCCTAAACCCGATACCCTAAACCTGAAAGCCCGAAACCCTAGACCCTAATTCCGAAACCCTAAACCCGATACCCTAAACAACCCGATACACGAAACCTCCTCCAGGAGAGCAACAAGCGTGGCACCGTGAGCTTCGCCATGAGGCCCTCGCTCGGAGCTTTTGGGATTAAGGGTTGGAGGTTTAGGAATTAGGGTTTAGGGTTGAGGGTTTAGGAGTTAAATTTAGGGTTGAGGGTTTAGGAATTAGGGTTTAGGCTTTAGGAATTAAGGCTTTAGGGTTTCGAGCTTAGGGTTTCGGGTTTAGGATTTAAGCTTTCGGGTTTAGGGCTTCCGGGTGTAGGATTAAGAGTTGAGGGGTCTTTAGGGCTTTAGGGTGTAGCGTTTAGATTAGGTTCCCGTTTCTATTGAGCTGTTTAGAGCTGTTTTTGCGCTGCACTCAGCAGTTTCTGCCAAGTTGTAGTGTGCAGCTTTCTAGGTTTATTCGGGGTTGAGGGTTCAGGGTCCAGAGTTTAGGATTTGTATTTTTGGGGTCAAGTTTTCCGGGTTTAGGCCCTGAAGTCTAGGTTACGTCGCAAGCTGCTACGCCCTCAATCTCATGTTTACATCCGTCTGCTCCCAATGTGCGCTCATGTGCCAAGGGGCCCGGACACACGCAGTTGCCAGATCTTCTTCAACTACAAGGATTGGTGCCAACAAGACCACGCAGACGCGTTTTGCTCGTAAGGTTTATGGAGTCTACGTTGTAGGGGACCCTGTACACTCCTGTGTAGGATCGAGCCTTTACTAACCCGAAAATCAAACCTGTTTCAAACTTGCCAAGAGCTGTTTAGGGTTTAGGGCCAAAGCGGAAATGAAACCTTTAAAGTCCCCTTGCAGGACAATGGCCCTGATCTCGACGGCCAGGCGCGCACGCCCTTGTTCCAGATTTGCTCTTTGGTCGGCTGCGTCGTTTTTCGCTTCGGGCTTTTTGTATACTATGGCATCTAGAATCACGAGCCCAAAAGGAATTGTATTGATGATCATTTAGGGCTATATAACGTGTTTTGTTTCTGGTTTAGGATGTATGATGCAAGACTTTTCGGTGCGGGATGTGTCATTAAGGCTGAAGGATTATTTCTGGATGTTGAAGACCTTCACGTTCCTCTGTGCCGTGCCCCTAAACCTAAATCCTAAGACGTGAAACCCCTAAACCCTCATGTACCCTTAACCCTTTACCCTTAACCGAACCCTTTACAGTAGCCCTTAAGCCCCCCCTTCTTCTCGAAGTCGCAAGAGCCTCTCCGCCAGGGCTTCTCACCGATCGCAGTGGTCAAAGCTGGCATGGAGGCCCTTGAGCTGACGCTACTTTAAGGATCATGGGACTTAGTAACTAGGGTTATAATTCGGGTAACTGTACTTATAACTACGTAACGCCAAGTAAAGTACTTACAACCTTACTTACTGAGTCCCATGCTCCTCCAAGTACTGTTTCTGGACTTGAATACTTGTCAAATGGTCCCTTTTGGGTCCCTATTATAATACGGCACCTTTTATTTAGGGTACCCAAGAAGGGACCTTAATTTTGACAACTACCCACTTGTCTATGGACAATCGCTGCATAAGGAACATACCACATTTCCCGTAGCTTTGACATATAAAGGATAGAATCATGCCTGCCAGCTTTACAGAGCCAATTCTCGGAGTTGATGTTTGTATGGGGCAGATACTAAGCAAAAGGTTGGGGTCTGCTGGGGTCTGCTGGAAGCCCCGCAACCTTGAAGAGGTCATTGATCAGCTGGTGGTGCCGACGGGCAAAGGACCGGGCCATGCGACCGTGACAGGCTCTTTTGTGGCTCGTGGGATCCTGGTAATCTTGATATTCTTGTTTCACCAGTACCCCATCTTCAAGTTTCTTTTTGGGGCTTCGTGGAAGCCTATCCGTTCAGTGCTTTCCGTTGTGATTGATACACTGCGCGCGCGCGGGGGCGGGCGGATTTACGATAGGGGCATTCAGGCAGGAACCACGCGGCAACCACGCAGGCCGGATTTGGAAACCGCCAAAAACAGGGATGGCTTGAACCTGTGATGGTTGGATCCTGCCCCACGTTGTCGCAAGGACCCGATCAGCCAACACTGAAGGAGCAAGGCAATGCGCAGCTTGCCGAAATTCAGGGTGCATTGGCCGTAGCGTAAATCGACCCTGAGTTTCCGAGATTCCAAGTAACACGGGTACTTGCCCACAAATCGGTAAACCCTATCCAAAACCCTGTTGAGCTGCAAGGAATGGCAGTGCTTAAGGTGGGATGCTACGGTTGATGATGTACATCCTGCATTACCTTAAGGTCCCGAAACTATGGGAATTATGGTCGATTCCGCATGATGGGTAATGCAGGGTTTATATCATCAACCGTAGCAGCTGAAGTTGCGATGCCGCTGGCTTACAGAGCAGGGCGCACGCCTAAATCCCCTAATCTCAAAGCCTTATAGACCCTAAACCGTATATCCCTGAATCACTAAACCGTAAACCCATGAATCCCTATAGGCCCTAAGCCGGGGAAGGTTGCGGTCTGGGCTTGCCGGGCTTAGCGGTACTTAAAGGATCACGGGACTTAGTAACTAGGGTTCTAAATCGGGTAACTGTACTTATAACCCCAAATAAGGTACTTATAACTTTGCTTACTAAGTCCCATGATGCTCCAAGTAGGGTTTACGGGTTTTGTATTGCACAGAGGATTCTGCTTCACCGAGGTACCTGGACAAAGCCTTCCCAGAGCTCAGTGAGATTGTGGAAGCCAAGATCCTATAAGCGGATGGTTTCAATGATTTCAATGGCGGCAGGCATCTCAACATCCTAAGTAGACCCTAAACTCTAAACACCAATGTATGAATTCTACTCCGCCCTCCAGCCTACCCTTACACAACCCCACCGAACCCGTTAAATAAACGCTGCAAAGATGAGCCTTGAAACTCCAAGGACCTTATAGAACCCTTGCGATGTACAGCAAGTAGGTGCGCTCGTGGATATTTATACATACACAGATGCACGGAGGGCCTCATGTGCATCTTCGCTTCTATGTCTCAGTCGTGTGAATTGTATCTGTACATAAGTAGTCGCATACTTAGACAAGCTGCTGTGCTCTCTCTCTCTCTCTCCCCTATCTCTCTGTCCTTGTTCTTTTTTTATATGCACAACCGTTACTTTGGGAGAGCATTCACTGTCCGTACTTCCACGCCCAAGTACCCTTGAAATTGCGAGTCGCCAGCTGCGCCTTTTGAGTAGCCGCCGGTAGTTTGGCCAGAGATCCCAAACCCTCTGATTAAGGAATGCTCCCCAAATCAGAGCGACGGGTGTCGTATGGTTCAAGGTATCTTCTCTTCACCCTCAGCCCTCAATCTTTATGCCTAAACCTGCCTTTCCCTGCTTCCTTGATCAGAGCGATAAATTGGGCTCTCTTTGTCGGCCAAAGTATGTCAAGAATCAGAGTGTCCTCGCTGCTCGCCGGGCCTTTTCAGGACAAATCGAACGTTTTCAACCTGACCTCTGAGGTTTACATAAGATTTCTGGCTTCAGGGCTGTAAGGGTATGGGCAGCTTTCGGGGTTTAGTAGTGAAGGTTCGGGGTGTATGGTTAAAGCGGGGTGTAGTGTTCATGGTGTAGGGTTTGGGGGTTTCTGGCGTCTCATAAAGTGTTTTGGCCTGAGGTGGATAGCAGGCTTCTTGGGAGGTTTGGAGTTTGGGGAGGAGTCGGTCGGCTTCACAAACTCCTTCGGGCCTTGCCCTGCGCCTTGTCTTGGCACTTTCGTGGGCAATCATTCTCAGAGTTTTTCTGGAGTTTTGCCCAGAAGACTTACACGAGGCACTTCCTAACTCCGAACTCTGCAGCACTTCTGTAAAGTCGACTCTACATAAAGCTTGACACTAGAAAGCCGCAGGAGCGGGCGTACCAGCGTATGGTGGATGGCGCTTGGCGCTCGGAGTGCAAAGGCTATAAACTTCGGTTCCGTCATTGCTCATCACTCACAAGGCCCTTTTAGATCCCATATCTGATATACATATACACATATCTATACAAACATATGTATATACACACGGTACATATACATGTATGTATACACACTGTGCATATAGATATAGATATACATACATACATACATACATCCATGCATGCATGCATACATATACACATGACGTATGTACGCACTAAAACCCGCCAGCCTTCTAGACTTTCAGTTCTGAGCCTTAAAAACAGCTTAAAGGGTCATGGGACTTAGTGACTAGGGTTATAATCAGGGTAACTATACTTATAGCTACTTATAACCCCAATTAGGGTACCTAGAACTCTATTTATTAAGTCCCATGATCCTTTAAGAGCACTCTGCTTCACTGAACTTCTGAAAGTTGCCGCACACCTTGAGAATCCTATCGTATCCACTTCCCTGCGGGGTGCCGTTTGTCGGCTGAGGTGTCCCTTCACAGCGTCCATCGGGTGGAGCCTGCAGAGCAGCGAGCCCAGAGAATCAATGGACACACACTGGACCACAGGTCAGGTGTAAACCGTAGGCCAGCCTCCGACAGCAATGCATTTTGGGGATCCACGAGAAGCTTCCTTACGTCTGAGCGTCCCAACCGTTCACCAATACCATCCTCACCAGTGATATCATCATTACCACCACCACCACGACCACCACCACCGCAATCACCATCACCATCATCATTCTCATCATCATCATCAGCATCATCATCGTTATCATCATCGTCATCATCATCCTGACCCTCATCACCCTTATCCTCATCATCCCCATCCTCATGATCATCGTCATTGTGAGGACGACAACAGCTCTGTCTCACCGAAGCTTTTAACCCGTAGCATTAGCTAGCCGTGACCTCAAGTTGTTTCATGGTCTTGTGTCCGCATTTGCACAACTTGGACTGCTTGCAAAATCACCACATCCCTGAGAGGACTTGTAGGCCATTCAGGAAGATGTACAGATCTTGCAGATCGTAGTGCCCTTCCCTGCACCCTCCTCCCCCTACATTTGCTGGGGCCTGACATTTTCTGCAGGTGATCTCCAACATCGCCCGCAGGTGTTGTGAATCATGCTCTTCTGCTTCGAGCACCGAAGCCTGAGGGTGCTCAGATCATTTAACAGAGCCTCGAAGCCAGAGCCGGGTGAATCAACAGTTTCTGCCAAGCAGATCACTTAGGTCTGAGGCTGTTGTGGCAGGTCGCCTTAACCCTAGTTCCAAAGCCCGCTCCAAGCTGATTCACGATTGAGAAGCCGAAACCTCGAGATGGAATTAATGCTCATGCAACATCTGCTAATGGCATCCCTTTGCAGCCCCGGCTTAATTATACTGGTTACCTAGTATACGACCTCCAAGCCCTATTCTGGGTAGTAGCGGCCCCCCCCAGTAGACCTAGAAGATGCAAAACCGCTTCGAAGCGACGCGAAGGCACCAGAAAGGACTTCGTTTTGCCACCAACTTTGGCACACAGGCAGGAGCCTGGTACGGCTCGGGTTTGGGATTTGGGGTTTAAGGGTTTAGGGGTTGAGGGTTTAGGGCCTGAGGGTTTAGGATTTAGAGTTTTAGGGTTGAATCATTGAAGGGTTTAGGGTTTAGGAAAACCCTAAACCCTAAACCCTAAACCGTCTATGGTGCGGGGTGGTTTCAGCATCCCAAGCTCTGAGCGCACAGAGTATACTATGCAAGCTTTAAAAAGCCCAAAGTAGGTACCCTAAACCCTAAGCCCTCCCGAACATGTGGTGGTATGACAGGATTTGTTTGCTAATATAGGCGCCTAAATGATTACCAATATTATGGTGGGGGTCTTTATTATAAATATAGTATAATGGGCCCCGAAACCCTATTCTAATTATTAAAGCCCTTATATTACCTAGGTTTGAAAGTGGTTGAGTGTGCACTCTGTTGACAGGGGCCGTCCGCAAGAGCCGAACACACGTAAAGCAAAGCCTGGACCCCAAATAAGCTACCTTTTTACTTGGAAGGATCATGGGACGTAGTAACTAGGGTTATAAGGAGGCCAAGTATACTTACAACCCCAACTAAGGTACTTATAACTTATAACCTTACTTACTAAGTCCCATGATCCTCCAAGTAGGGTTCCCTAATATGATTTCTTCATATGAGTCCTTAAAACAGTAGGTTCTTTGGGTTAAGGAAACGCTTAAAAAGCTCGAAGCCCGCTGTTTGCACGCTTGGAGCTTTTGGGGAGTAGACCAGGCAAGCAAGCGCTGCCCAGACACAATCAAGGCAACGAACCCTGAATCTGAAAGAGGGCTTAGTTTTTAGGGTTTAGGGTGTAAGGTTTAGGGTGTAGGGTTTAGGATTTCGGGTGTAGGGTTTAGGGTTTAGGGTGTAGGGTTTAGGGTTTAGGGTTTTCTAAACCCCAAACTCCACGCTCGGAGACCTTCAGTAGCCCTCAAGGAGCCATTCCGAAGCCGACAGAAACACCTACACAAACCCAAAGAAACTCCTTTTAAAAGCCCCGGCCGGTATAGGGTTAAGGGTTTAGGGTTTGGGGAGACGTTCGTCCTGCCAGGTGATCGTCGCCTTCATCGGAGCCTTTCTCCTGGGGTGCCCTGCGCTGCGCGGGAGTTCCTTTGAGGGTCCTTGTGAGGATTCCACAGGGTCTTCATAGGGTTTATGGGAGTTGGAACGACTAGATACGAGTTTTGGGGCATGTGTGCTACGAGTTTTGAGGGAGACCGAGCCCACGCACCTCTGAGCCCCATGCCCAGAAAAAAGTAACATAGGACATAGGGGTTCTATGAAAGGTTCGAGAAGGGTAAACCGTTCCAGACGGGGTTCCGTGGGGGTTTTGGGGTGTAGGCTTCGGGTTTCACGGCTTAGGGCTTTCTGGGCTTTCGCAGGTTCCGGACGATCCAGCGCCCTCACATCAAACCTTGGTACCTTTTCAAAGCCTTCATCACAAATCCCCAACCCTGACTTAAGCCCGAAACCCTGAACCTTAAACCCTAGACCTTAAACCACACAAAAAACAAACCAAACCCTAGACTCTAGCTTGCAATGGGAGAGGTACTATTTTGTGGAAACCTTCGTGGCCCCGGACAGCTTCAACGCGAAGGTGCTGATGAGCTTCAGGGTTTTACAGCTGGGTTGCGGAGTTTAGGAGATGGGATCAGAGGCTTTAGGATTAAGTGCACTGTTTTGCGTTTTTTTTCCATGCGTTTGGTCATACCCTGCTATTCTGTAGTGTCTTGAGATGCAGATAGGTTGGAGCTGTCATGACACCACAAACAGCACCTCAGCAGAAGACCTTTGCGGGTGGGCTGCCTCAACGGTTGTGTCTGTGCTCCAGCGAACAGCGAAGCAGAACTCGCTTTGCCCTAATCTCTATACCCTAAGCCCTAAACCCTAAACCCTAAACCCTATAAACCCTAAACCTGAGCCTGCATACGTTTCGTAGCAGGAGCAGTCCACAATGCCAGGAAAGGAGCCATAAGTGGGGTTATAAGTAGGGTTAACTATAGGTCTATCCCATATCAGGGGACTTATAACCCCACTTACAACAACCTCCAAGTACGGATCGCACAGGCTCACATGCCATGATCTATGGAGCGAGCTTTGTGGGAATCCAGCTTTAGGAATGAGGGCGCCGTGGCCGTAGTACATAGAACGTCGGGGGCCGCTAGAATTACCAACATGACCTATGACTCCATTATGATATACTCCGAAACCCTATTCAGATTGCCTCCGAGGTTCTATAGGATTTATCGTCCGGCGTGCCATCGAAGTATGAGACGAGCAGGTCATCGCAGGAGCCGCCTGCTCCTTCGCCACTTTGCTTCTGGAGACGCTGCTGCCGGGGCCTTAGAGCGGCCGGGGCCTGCGGAGCCGAGGAACTGTGGGTTGATATATGGGTTCCCTTAAAGGGATCTCTAAGGGTACCTTTAAGGGGTTCCTTTAAGGGATCTATAAGGTTTTAGGGTTTAGGGATATAAATCCTGCAGTACCTTAAGGACCCTAAACTATGGGAATTATGGTATATTCCTTACTATGGGCGATGCAGGATGTATATCATCAACCGAAGGACCTTCGCAAGACCCAAGGTATGGCCTCGTAGTAACTATGGTTCGCTCGCTGACGGAATGACGGGTAGATCGCGATAGACCCCGGAAGATTTCCAGAGGAAGCATCTTCGGAGAGTCCTCAGTCCTAAGCTTCACAGCGTCAGTTCCTGAGAGCCACAACATCCTAAACTCTGAACCCTGAGGCCCAGGCGCTTCCCAGCCAGAGACTCCAATATCCCTTGATTTAGGAATATACTTTATAAGTTATAGTAGGATCCTTGATATGATTTAAGGAATATTGCCTAATTAAGCTTGTGAGCTGTTTTTATAAAAACAATAGTAGGATCCTTAATATGATTTAAGGAGTATTGCTTAATTAAGGGAATTGGAGTCTCTGGGTTGATGCCTGAGCCCTACACACTCCCAAAGAGTGCCGAGGCTTGTCATCCACGAGCATAAGCTCACCATGATCCACACGAAGCTCGCCTTCTGAAAGGGGATCTGGTTTAGGGTTTGCAAGAGATGTTGGGGCCCGACTTCAACCCGGAGGCATGCGCAGGCTTTCTTGCCTTGTCGTCCGCGAACTGCCTCTGCAGATAGGATGCAAGCTCTTTTGAGATCTAGCTTGGCGAGTGTCCCCAAAGCCCCAGCCCAGCTCACGTCCGTGCACTCAGGAGGCAGACCAAGCAGGAGAAGCGCAGCAGGAGAGGAATTCTACCCTACAGGGTTCCGGGTACCTTGCGGTTCGGCCCGAAGAAGAGTTTAAGCATCTTGGACCCAAAGCCCCAAAGCCCTAATCCTTAAACCGCTCCCCTGCTCCCCTAGCCCTTAAACTTTAAAAGCCCAGTACAACCATCTTGAAACCCCAAACCCTGAACCCCAAACCCTATAAACACTATGAACCTTGTAAGCCCTGAATCCTAAACCCTAAACCCCAGCGTAAGCCTCTGAGGCAGGCTCGACTTACTCATGCTGAGCAGAAAGAGCCATTGCACTTATAAAAAAACCCTATAAACCCTATAAACCTTGTAAGCCCTAAACCCTAAACCCTAAACCCCAAGCCAGCGAGCAGGAGACTTGTCGCAGTGCGTCAGCCGGTCGGGTCCTCGGAAGTGATAAGCCTCCCACAGCCGCTGAACGACCCGTTAGGGTTTAGGGGTTTCGGGCTCAAGGGTTTAGGAATTAGGGTTTAGGGGTTTAGGAATTAGGGTTTGGGTTTAGGAATTAGGGTTTAGGGGTTTAGGAATTAAGGTTTAGGAGTTTAGGAATTAGGGTTTAGGGGTTTGGGGTTTAGGGTTAGGGGTTTCGGGCTCAAGGGTTTAGGAATTAGGGTTTAGGGGTTTGGGGTTTAGGGTTTAGGGGTTTCGGGTTCAAGGGGTTGTTGTCGCGTTTCGGTATTCAGTGTTTGATTAGGTCTTTGGCGGGTTTGACACCCCCGAACACCGGAGGATGGTAGCTTCCGGTTAAGTTCTCATGCTTTGGTGACGAGGTATGTCACTTGAAGTCGGAAGAAATTAGATCCACAGGCGGGGCTCGCTTGCACAACTGCCCTTTGTACTAGGTTGATAGAGATGTTTCAGCAGGGGGCCCTGAACAACGCCTAGTGGCGGCTTGGACTCGCAAGCCTGTTGAGCTTGAAAGGCCACAAACTCACAATGAAGCCGTTCGCCGGAGTCGAGGCTTGCAAGATCGTTCGGGACAGATTGCCTGTGCAACATTGTCCGTGGACTGTAGGCCCTGTAGGCGTCGACTGACCAACGGGTCAGGTACTTCCCCGTAATCCTTCTGCATCGGAGATCAGATTTGCCCTAAACCCAAACCCTAAACGCACAAGGCAACGAAAAGCTCAAGTAACCCAAAAGCCCTGGCCCTAAGCCCCCCCCCGAAACCCCCTCCCGTGCCGTTTCGAGGCCGCTCCGTCCAAGAGCGAACCTGAGAAGAAAGACGACTGAGCAGGCTCTTTCTTCTCTGGTGATGGTCGTAGTAGTGATGGTGGTGGGTGTGGTGGTCGCAATTCTTGGGGGTGGGCTTTGGCATTCAAGAGCCCCGACGAGGATCCGCAGAAGGTCCCGAAATTTTGGAGAATGTGTTACGCATTCCGTAACAGAATCCTTTATATACTGTAGGCTCAAATACCCGTAACTTCCGGATAAGATGACTTGTCGAGCTTAGCGGGCGGTTAGGATGTAGTGATCTGCCGAGCTCGCTGTAGGATTTAGGATCTCGACCGTAGTGTTCTTGTCTGTCTCGACCATGTCAGCAGCTGGGGCTTGCGAGCTGCAGTGCAGCTCTGCTTTGGCGGCTCAGGCTCCAGTTTCGCAAGTTATCCCTTCTTTACTTGTTTTTTTAAGGTTCGGGGTGCTGCCGCAAAACAGGATGCAGATACAACGCCGCTAAGCAGAGCCAGCCGTTGTACAGTTTGCCAGACGCCAGCTTGTGTGCGAGTAAAGCACAGGCCATGTCAGGGATTCTCGGTATTGGGTTCCTGAGAGGCTGATGTTCAACGTCTTGGTCTTTTGGCTCATGGGATTCTCATTTTCGGTTTAAGCCGTGCGACAGTTTGGTCACCCGCTGCATGGGGATCTCTAAACCCCAAACCCTAGACCCTCATACAGAGAGCTCGAAATCGTCAAGCCGGAACCTGTGGAGTTCGATGCTACGAGAGTGCCCAAATGGTCAGGCGGCTTGGAAACCAGGAAAAACCAGGCATCAGCAGCATGCATGAAGGCAGGTATGCAGGTGTAGGTATGTAGGCATGTAGGCTGTAGGTAGGTACGGAGGCAGGTGGGCAGGCAGGTAGGAAGGAAGGTGGGTGGGTGGGTGGGTATGTTTGAGCGTGCATGTATGTTTGCGCGTGTGTGGACAGGACAAGATCAATTTTCTCCTTGCGCAGCTTTTGAAGCTACACAGCCAAGCGACCCCCAAGCAATGGCCTTAACGACACACCAAAGACATTTACATGGAACAAAGCAAATGCAGATCTTTCCTTCAGTGCAGATTTTCCCGCTCCCGAAACCCTAAACCCTAAAATCCGACCCCAAATCCACACCTTCCAATCCCCAAAACTCGAACCCCGTTTGAGCCAAGCCCAGAGGCTTGGCTTCTCGAGTTCGACATAGCAGATACACCTGCGGCGTTATTCAGCTGGATATCTGGGGCGAAACAACCCTAAACCCCGAACCCCTAAACCCTTACACCACTCGTGGGCCAAAACGGGCCTCAAGAAGAGGTCTTGTTGGAGCCCGAGCGGGATAGTTTCGGGCCTGTTTCGGCTCCGGTGGTGTGGAGCTACCTGAGGCGGGGACTGAGGCTGAGACTTTTTGTGGTTTGGTTCCATGGCACACGGATACTATGGCTCTGATATCGGCTTTTGTTCTTGTTTCATTTGCAGAAGGCTCTTTCTTTGGCAATGCAGGGACATCTTCGGTTGCAGAGTTTGCTGTGATTGCTGCGGCAGGCCCCCGTAGTTTTGAGAGCAACATGTCGGCCCTAGTAATGAGAATAGGGTTCCTTTCATCATTAACCTGTTCCTTTGAAGGTCCTTTTCATGGGTTTCTACAAGGGTTTCTGGGTATAGGCACCTTCATTGTTAGAATATGAAAGAACACAGTCTCGGGGCATGTCATAATATAAGAATAGTACCATCACAAAAGGAGCCTGCACGGCAGGATTAAAACCCTGAAACCCTGAACCCCAAACCCCTAAACCGTCATCACTCAACCCCTGAACCAACAGCCCAAACTAAACCCATTTCACACGTGTCACAATCGCGTCAGGGCCGACGGTTGAGCAAGGCAGATGCCGCCACGTTCTTAGAGGGAGCGCCGTGGTCGGTTGAGTATCGCATCTTCCAACATGGGGCTAGCAAATCAGGAGCTGTTGGTTGTCCAAGCATTGAAGTTTAGCCCAAGGTGCACCCGTTCCAAGCCGACTTACTTGTAAGCTCTTTCGTGCGCATCCCGAAACCGTCGGTCAGTACGCACGGACGCTGTGAGCTTTAGGAGGCAAGCCGAGCACCAGGGCCAAGCAAGGGGTTTGGGCCAAACCTTCACGCGTAATACACACATTGAAATAGTCAAATCATTGCTGAGAGTTCTTTGTTCTACTGTAGTATAACCTACCGCAAAACGCACGAGTTATTGGAGCCCCCATGTTCAGAAGGTTAGTCAAGATCTTCTCCAAGCAGCCGCTCAAAGCGGCCTGGTGGCAAGCCCCTCGTAATTCGTCGGAGTGAGCTTGAGGCTCTTGTGCCGATGTTCCAACACAAGCATCCGCACAGAATCTTGTCTGGCTGTGTCAGTTGTAGCTAACACCACGAGCCAGGCAACCGTAATCCGAAAATTCCAGTCGGTCGTTCAGTTGTTCAGAACCTTAATGTTTGGACTACGGCTGTGGGCCGTGAGGTTATGTTATACAGTAACAATGAACCCCAAGGCCATTGTTCTCGTTGTTTCGGAAGACGTATTGTCTTACCTTTGGCTCGTAGGGAATGGAAGAATGGTAGTAATAGTAGTTATAATTGTGCCCCATTCCTCCATTCCCTACTAACCCAAGGTAAGTTGTTGCAGATCGTGGAATGTCATGCGCCCGCCGCAGGGACCTTCGTCCTCGAGAGATACTGAGAAGATCATGGGACTTAGTAACTAGGGTTATTAGGGTAACTGTACTTATAACCCCAATTAAGGTACTTATTAAGTACCTTACTTACTAAGTCGCATGATCCTCCAAGTAGCCAAGGTGCCCGTGAGCATGCTGCACACCACACTGGCCAAGATTTGGGGCGTCAGCACTACGCCAGCACCATGGCAGCTTTAGGTCTATCCAGGGATGCTATGTACTGCTGTGGGGATACTTCCCTGACTCACAATAGTAGTTCCTAAGATAGAAACTCTACATTCTACTATACAGGTACCTGGGACCCTTTGGGAGTCATTTTCGTGACAGAGCTTGAGCCCAAGCGAAATCATGCTTCTTTTTTGCTTGTGCCGACAGAGACTTGTGGAATGCAAGCCGCTCCACTTGTTTCTGTGTGGGCAACCTGGTGTCTTGGGGTGTGGGGCTTTGGGTTATCTTTCAATAATTTTTGCTTGTTGACTGCCTTTGGACTTGAGGGCGCGTGATTTCGGTAGAAGGGGGCTGGCCTTAGATGAGGCATTACATACGATACGATCATATGCTAGTATATTTTGTTATATAGTATGCTATAATGTACGATAACCTACTACTCATGTTAGATTGATACTATCGTAAGATGCAGTATGGTATACTATATAATGTACTATCCTCGTCGAGTTCTCAGCTGCCGAAGTTGCGGGCCTCGCAGCTCAGGAAGTTCTGAAGGTGCTGAACCTCCCGCTCTTCGATGCAGCGGCCCTAGAAAGGGTTTAGGGTTTAGGGTTTAGGGTCTTTAGAGTTTATGGTTTAGGGTTTTTAGGGTCTAGGGTTTTAGGGTTTAGGGTTTACGGATTTAGGGTCTAGGGTTTTAGGGTTTAGGGTTTAGGGTTTTAGGGTTTAGGGTTTAGGGTTTGGTGAGATGTAGGGCTTAGGTTTTCGGGGATGTTTCGCCCCTCCCCCTCTGGTGCCCACAGCCGGCAAGCTTGCATTCCTGCCAGCCCAAACCCCACAAGCCTTGAACCCCAAACCGTTCCCTTTAGGATTTGGGGATGTTGTACTGCACATGGACGGGACCCTTGCCACCCAAGCCTCACCCCGAGGATGGAAGGGACGTAAGACGGGTTTCACACTTCGAAGAGATTCTCTAATCTCTGAAACCTTAAACCCTACCTTGACCTACCAAGCCCTACTTTGCAGGGTCCATCCCAGAGGCCAGTGGCTACGAAGATGTCTTCGTGGACATCCGCGCTAAGCAGAAGGTGGAACGCACCGCCGAGGTGCGAGGTCACAGTGCTAAACCGTGAACCTGAAACTCTCAAAACCCTAACCCTCCGCTTCCCAAGGCCCCACAGGCTTACGAAGATGCCTTCGACCTCCGTACGGGAATCCGCAGAGTGCCTAAACCGCACAGATAGGTACCCCTAAAGGAATGTTAAAGGAATCTTACAGGAGTCGTTTGGTGTCAGAATCCAGCCCTAAATCCAGAACTCTCCATAAGGGGAATCCCACAGAGGGTCTTCAAGCACCATAGTGTAGTGTAGCATGTCATGCTGTAGCCCTTGGTAATTGCAGTCCAATGTAGAAAGTTGTAGTATCATATTCGATGATATTGTAGTATATTGTCATATACGTCTGTAGAGCACTTTGCTGGAAGGTCCTCCAAGACTGCTGCCAGCAAACCGCGGACCTTCTCAGCCAGTGCCTTCGGCCTTGACAGGTAGAATCGGTTTTTATTGGGAGAGGCACAAGCGGGTTAGGGTTTAACTGTGCATGGACCGTAAGGATACTTAGAATCGGTTTTGGGCGGTATACGGGTAGTTCTCTCAATTGGGGCCAATTAGGGTCCCTTTTAAGGTCTTTTCCTGGATTCACTGCAGCAGAACTCATCTGCTGTCGACTGCTCCGCATGGCATGGCATCCGGAGAAGTGCCCCGAGTCCCAAGCTGTTCGGGGAGCCGAACACTCAGACCCGAAACTCCAATTCCGAAATCACGATTTCCATCGCCCTAAGCCTCAAGCCTGAATCACTAAACTCTAAACCCTAAAGACCCTAAACCCTAAACCCCGAACCCCAAAGACCCTAAACCCTAAACCATTCCATCCTAAGCCCCTAGAGACCTTAAACCTGCTAAGCTCTGGCCCTACACCACTGAAAAGCACGAAGGACCGGTCACAGCTGCCGAGTCCGCCTTGAGGTCTACGAGCCGTCGCTGCAGCCGCTGACATGACAGTGAGGAATACGCCATAATTCCCATAGTTTAGGGTCCTTAAGTTAATGCAGGGTTAGATCATCAGCCATAGGGCTTAGGATGGAAGGGGTCAGAAGTGAGGGAGGTAAAGTTTGAAGGGCTTGTTGATGGATTTGTGGAGGGCATCAGGGCCTTAATGTACACGGGCCGTGCGGGGGACATGGAAGATGCGAAGGCTCTTCAAGTGCCGGCGGTAGCATGGCCATCCTCTCCTAGTCCCTGGGACTTCCCTCTGACATACTCCAAAACAACATGTCTCCGAGTGTCCAGGCGGTACAGTAGCCCGAAATCACTGTTCCCCTCGCCGAGGTTCACTGCACCCAGAAAGAGGTCCGTCTTTGGGTTGAGAGCGTGTCCGTGATGAGGATGAGGATTTGGAGTGGCTCGGTCAGGCTTGGGATCTCGTACACAGCGTGAGTCGTTTTTAGGGGTTCGAAGCCTGGGACTTTCGGCTGGCGCTTAGAGGATGCGTGGGTGCGAGATCTAGGACCTAGGACTCTGAGGTTGCTGCGGAGTTTCGAGTTCCCTGCTACTCTGTGCGATTCGGGAGGAAGCCTAAGACCTTGCGACTCTCATGGTCGGGACGATGAGGGAACATGTGCGTCATGTGAGCAAAAGCCACCAATGCCAGCATGATCATGAACCTCATCGTCATCATCATCCTCACCACCATCATCATCGTCAGCCCTATGGAAAGCATGGCTCATGCCATCGTGGCGATGGTGAGTTGGAAGCTCCTGCTTCCAAGCCTCCAAGCCAGGCCTCCGTCCACCCGTGAGAAGTTGACAACGAACCCGTTTCAAGAGGAGTAGTAAAGGGGGCCATACGATAATTACTTTAACAGGAACCCTAAACCCTAAACCCTAAACCCTGTAGTATTGGTAATATTTAGGCCGCTACACTTCTGCCTCGACCTCCGTGCATGCAATTCGAAGTCCTGAGCCTTTGCTTCTCAGCCGCCTCCCACAAGCCCCTCTTTGCAGCATCCTTGCACGAACGCCCGGGGGCGACTCAACAGCACGGGGTGCGAACGAACGTGATTATGTTGAATTCCTAACCCTCTACCCATTCTTGGGGCCATGGGCTCAGGGTCTTGTGTTCCAACAGCTTCTAAGCGCTGGCTGGGCCGTGGTGGTCCTGCTTTGGCGAGTTCGATGCCCTGTCAACAACTAATATAGGGACCTAAATAATTGCCAATACTACTTTGGGAGTTCCTTATTATAATCATAGTATATTCGAATTATTATTGCCCCTATATTACGCAAGGTTCAAGCTTCCCGCTCGTTTGATTTGCGGCTTAGATGGATCGAGATTCTAGGGTTCAGGAAGTGCTTGGCATGTTCGGTTAAGCGGCTAGAGTTCAAATCAGAACAGGGCACACATAGGAGTAGTTATGGCGCAATAGTACGAATAATGAAAATCAGTTGTCTGGTGATCGGGTATTCGCGGAGCCAGTCTGTTTCTGCTGAATGCAGTGGGGAGGGCCCATCTGCGGACAATTTGATTCGCTGGCTTTGTGAAAACGTCTGGGACGAGCATGCTGTTGCCTTCCTCAGAGTTACTAATATGACTCCTTAGGGTTCCTGATTCCTAGTTACTGTCATATTATTAGTATAGTGTACTCCAAAACCCGACTCTACCCCTTCCCAGTTGGACTCCTAAGTGATGGTTTTCGACCGAAACTGCAGGACATTGTACTTTACGTCCGATGTATGATCTTGTATGACATGTTCTAGAGATGTTGTGCTATACTGCTCTGTACAGTGTTATACTCGATATTTTGTATACATATTTCTACAAGCAAATTGCATTGTATTGTACTGTATACTTTATTATATTCTACTGCAGTATATCACATTTTATGTAATGTCATGTATTATACTATCCATTACAACAAACATTTCATATTGTATTGTGTTGCACTGTAGTGAATTGTACTGTATGAAATAGTATAGTACAGTATAGTTTGATAGAGTATAGTGTGTTGTATTTTGTTGTAACATCTTTCAACCACCTTTCGCCCTGGCCGTTTCCTCGGCTCAACCTGGCTGAAGATGGGCGCCGCGCTGGCAAAGCCACCTGCGAGCGCCCATGGCTCTGGAAGAAGGCCTCGAGCGTGTTCTCCAGGAGCACCCGATACAACAGCAGGGTTTAGGGTTTAGGGGTTTTAGGGTTTAGGGTTTAGGGATTTAGGGTTTAGGGTTTTAGGGTTTTAGGGTTTTAGGGTTTTAGGGTTTTAGGGTTTAGGGTTTAGGTTTTTAGGGTTTAGGGTTTTAGGGTTTTAGGGTTTTAGGGTTTTAGGGTTTTAGGGTTTAGGGTTTAGGGTTTTAGGGTTTTAGGGTTCAGGGTTTAGGGGCTACAATGATGCTATAACACAATAGTGTTCTGGCTCATTGTACTTGCAAGACGGCTGGGTAGGGAGGCTTTTGAAGTGAGCAGTTGTTGAAACTGCAGCTCTAGGAAGCAAAACATGAAAAGTCAGCTTGTAAAGCCAGGTGAGAGCCTGAAAGCGGTCAAAAGCTTGTCACAGCCATGTCACAATCAAGGCCATGGGCCCTAAATCCCCAAGACGTAAAGCCAAAACCATGAACCGTCACTCTAATACAACAATCAGTTCCCTAAACCCTTCACCCCAAAGTCCTCAACCGTCGCTGTAAAACCGTTCGCAGCCATGATACAACAATCAGTTCCATAAGCCCAAAACCCTCAACCCTAAACCCTTAATCCCTATAAACCCTTAACCCCCAAGAAATCTCTAAACCCTTCATCCCTAAACCCAAAGCCCTAAGCCGTCAAAGAGGAGCTTCGACAGACCGAGAGGCAGCAGCAGTTTCTGAGAACTGCCGCTTGGCATCGCATCGAAGCTTCCGGAGCTGCAGCCTTCTCAGTTTTTTGAGGTTAGTATATCATCCTACAATGTGTTTCTAGTATGCTACGTTATATCAAACAATGTTGCACTTTATATTGCATTATGTGATATTATATTTTCTTGCAGTTGGTAGTTTCAGGGGTCTCAGGGTTGAGGGTTTGGGAATGTGGGGTTATGGGGTTTAGGGCTTAGGGCTTTCGGGATGTAGGCTCGTTAGGGTTTCGGGTATCAGATGCAGCTTGCTGCAAGGAGCGTGCTGAGCAAGGATATATTTTCTACTGTTGAGGCCCCCATGTTCTCTCTACGCCCCTGTTCTCTCTCATCTCGATTACATGTTGCTTTTCTGCTTGTCCGTATTCTACTACTTTTTTGGGGGTTATTTCCGGAATCAGACCTTAACGAGCTGCCTGGTGGTGCGGCATGGGCCTAGTAAACTGACAAAAGCATTGGAAAAGGCACCAGCTACAAACTGCCCAGAGGCGTTGGCCAAGTTGAGCGATACGTTGAAACAGGGCTCCGGTTGATGATGTAAATTTTGCATTGCCTTAAGGACCTTAACTGTGGGAAGTATGGTATCGGCTTTACTATGGGTAGTGCAGGACTTATATCATCAACCGTAGTAGGGTTGCGGTTGAAGGTCTGGTGGTTTTCAGTTTACTTGGAGGATCATGCGACTTAGTAAGTAGGGTTATAAGTACATGAATAGTTATCGTAACTAGAACCCTAGATACCAAGTCCCATGATCCTTTAAGTAAGGTTCAGGGTGGAGACTGCGAAGTCTACCTGCGCAGGGCGTGCTCAGGGCATCGAAGGGAGTGGGGTTGCGCGGTTGATTTCATTAGTATTACTGATTAATTTTGTACAGACTCAGTATTGGTGATTAAATCCGAAACACTAGTAGCCGACCACCGCTTTCCGGAAGCTCAGGCCATTGAGCACCATCGCGACGAGCTGCTTCAATCCGCCGTAGGGTCGTCCGAGGCCCTTCTGTCAGCCCGAATAGCGCTGTCGACAGAACCCTATTTTTAAACGCAACTATATAAAGAAGAACGGCATAAAACGGACACCCTATACAGTCCCATAAGCCCCTGTCATTGCTGCTCTGGCTGGTTGCATCCATGGACTTGTTTCCGACGCACTGCTCAACTTCTGCGTTTTCAATGTGGAAAGCTCACGAGAGTCTTCGGAGCAGATGAGGCCTCACTGGCCGCACCCGAAAGCGACACCGGAGTTTTGAAACGCTGAACCCGGAACCCCAAGCCCGTTTAGGGTTTGGGGTTTAAGGTCGATGGTTTAGGGCTTATGGTCTAGGGTTTAGGGTGCAAATCCCAGATTTTACACATAGAGCGTGCAGGCAGCCAGCGACGGCGACGATGCTTCCCGGCGGCTGGCAAAGCTCGAGGAGCTCTGCAGCTTGAGGTTTTGGGGCTCCTGGGTTTGGGTTTAGGGTTTAGGATTTAGGGTTTGGGGGGCTTGAGGGCGGTCTATGGGGTGGGTGGCGCTCGTGTGGCGAACAGGGCTTGGTGGGGAGGTTGCACTTAAGTGAGGCCTCGTCCTTCCTTCTCGCCACTCCGAAGGGTTTGGGCTTCGAGGCTACAGCCGGGTGACTAGGCGCCATGTAAACCAAGTCACCTGAGAAGTAGCCGGTTTCGCCTGGGTTCCCGGTTTGCAGACAGGTGTTGTGAGGCTGAACGGTCGGCGTCGTGACTAAGATGCGGTATTGCAGTACTTTAGGGGCCTCTATGATTGCCAGTAGAACACGTTTTTGGGGCCCAGAATACGATTATCACAAAAAGGAAGCCCCAAAATATTATACTTACTAAGACTCCTACATCAAATCCTTATAATAGCCCTCAGAGTAGCCTTAACAGACCCCCTTAAAGGAACCCTCTTCCAATAGTATAGGTGATTACTAATGCCCCTATATTCTGCACGGCAGCCAGGGCTGTTCAGTTCGAGGATCAAGAGCTCCGACACACTAATATCGGTTAATTATACATTGCTACATTAGCATCGCAAATTGTTACGCGTATTGAGTTTGCGGCGCGCTTGTTGCCGAAAGCTTCGCAGGAGGAGCTGAATCTTCTCCGAAGTGAGAACCTTGAGCTGAAGGAGGAGAACGAGCAGCTAAGGGAGGAAAACGAGAAGCTGAAGATGGCTCCTTGGAGCGAGAGTTGAAGGGCTTGGGGTTGGGGGTTTTAGGTTTAGGTTTAGGGGTTTAGGGTTTAGGGCAGCTTAGGGTTTAGCGTTTAGGGCAGTTTAGGGTTTAGGGTTGGGTTTAAGGTTTGGGGGTTTGGGGTTTAGGGCAGTTTAGGGTCTAGGGTTGGGTTTAAGGTTTGGGGTGTGGGGTTTGGGGCAGTGTAGGGTTTCGGGGTTCAGGGTGTGCGAGGCGGTTCGTGGTCGGGGTTTCCTGAGTCGTACAGCGGCCTCGCAGCAGGCTCCGGCTTGCAACGAAATCTACACAAGACAGGGGATTTGCAGGGAGTCGCGGCTGGCTGACAAAAACTGTAGTATATATACACATATACACATGCAATGTGTAAGTGTATGTATATGTGTATCAATATATATATATATATATATACACACCCATATATGTGAATCGTGCGTGTGGGCGTGTGCGTATCTCTCTCTCTATATATATATATATCTCTCTCTCTCTCTCTCTCTCTCTCTTTGTCTCTGTCTCTCTGTTGCTTCTCTCGTTCTAGAGCGTCTCTCTACTCAGTCAATAGCAATAGCATTAACAAAACTGGGGACCCCCGGGGAGAGGGAGCGCGCTGAAATACTGGGTAACTGATCTTTCAGGCGGCACCAAACTCTTGGGGGCAGGCTGTGATATCAGCTTAATTAATGGATGTTGCTCCAAACCAGGCCTGCAGGTCTGCTCACTCCTCCCGTTCGTGTTTGTGTGTGTGTTTGTGTGTGTGTGTGCGCGGGATTTCAGTTTGCCAAACGGTGCTTCCTGACAGGAGCGCGTGCAATGTCAATGAGATCAGTAGCTGTGCAACGTCAGACTGTGTAAAGGCTGTGTTTGCAGCATGCTAGTCAGTCGTGAACTCGTCCTTTTGCTATGCATGTCGGTGATGTAGTTCTAACCGTTTCTTTTCGACTGCATGCGGCTTGGTCGTCGGAGCTTCCATCCGAATGCCGCAGGTGGCGACATACCCATCGCTTTCAAGTGCCGAAGCACACAAACCCGAAACGCTCAAACCTAAATCTCACACCTGGAGAAGCCCTAGCCCGAAACTCCGAAACCCCTAAACCCCTGAATCCTAAACTCCCAAAACCCCTAAACCCTAAACCCCTAAACCCTAAACCCCTAAACCCCAAGCCCCTAAACCCCATTCTCTTAAACCCTAAATTTGATAGACTCCCAGGAGTTCGGCCTTTCCGGGACCATGTCGGGCTCCGCCGCCAGCGCCCTGCGGCATGTTGCCAGCAAGCCTGAGGCAGAAGTGTGCGTCTGGAGGGATTAAACATACCCTGTGGGTCCAAAGGACCCAATAATTAGGTACTCGGTTTTAGGATAGTAATTATGTAGGTTAGGATTTTGGAGAGTATATGATAATCTGGTACTTGGACTCTTGGGGATAGAGTCCATATTAGAATCATCATTTAGAGTTTAGGCTTTATAGTCCATCTGGTGATGTAGAATCATACGTTCTTGTAGGCATGTACCCGTCAATTTTCCGATGACTACGGCCGCTACCCTAGATTCAATTGTTCCAAGCTCGGGGACTCCTCTGCCAGTAAATGTATCAGGATTTTTTCCACAGCGCAGATTCGCTTGGCGCCTCAATTTTGCTTCCGGCTTGTTGAGGGTTTGCTGGGCTGTGTCAAAGCTTTGGGGGCTTCTGGAAACTTGTACCTCGAGGGGGCTGCCGCAGGCTAGCAATGTGTTGAGCACACGCAACTGTAACAGACATACATCCTCAAGCTCATCGGAAATGAAAGCAGCAATCAAAAAGAGAAAGGTGTCGCAACCTGGTGGAAAGCAAAAGTTGAACATTGAGCGTGAGACTGACGATGAGACTAGGGGTATTCGAAACTGGAGCTAAAGCCGATAGAGTATGACCAGGGTTATACGACTTGTAGCAATTCAGTGTATGTAGGACCCACGGTTCTTGCTTCATGTCGTTCGAAAGCTGCGTGTCTGGTTCAGGTAAATCTTGAAGCCCCACAGTTCCAACACCCCGAACCACGTGGGTCGGGGGCCAGTCTAGATGGGCTTCGTCAGGGCAAGGAGGTGGTCCTGTAAGTTTGGGGGGTTCTCATTTTGCTGGGATCTCGAATCCGGATGCAGTAGCTTTTCAAGTTCGGTCCTGCAGAGCGAATTGAGAGCTTGTCGAAAAAAGAACGGCAACGGTTTCGACCTCCTAAGGCCTTATAGGCCACAGGCCCCATGAACCCGAGTAGCAAGCCTTAGAAGCCTTGCAAACCCTACAAGCCCTGCAAGCCCTAAGCAGATGAGCCCAAACGCTTTGCAGGGCATCGGCTGGGCATCCCAACATGCGGTGCTGGCTGGGCCTGCCGGAAAGTCCCTGCGTCGTGGGAAGAAGGCCTGGTTGGCTTTGCCAGCACCCTAAAGCCTAAACTTAAAGCCTAAACCCTGAACTTAAAAGATGCACTGGGCATGCGCATGTACAAGGATTTCGCGCATAAGGTTTGTGGGGTGAAGGACTCCCGGTTCAAGGGGTTAAGGTGTTTTTGGTCTTGCAGGTTGGGGTTTTCGGATATACAGTTGGTCTACATATACAACTATATGTTTATGTATATATATATATATGTGTGTAATTGTATATGTATATACAATATATATATATATATATATATATATATACATATGTGTACATGTATACAAGACTTGTGCACATACCATATATATATATATACACATACCTGTATGTATGTATATTTATATACACACACATACAGAGATATGTTTTCTTGCAAGTCTGATCCAACACCGAAGACGGCCAGAACGGTGTGTATTTGTATGCACGCGCCATGACTTATGCTCGCGGAAAGGAGATCTTGAGCAAGGAAGTCTTCGCTTGTGGAGCTTCGTAGGATGCAGATAGGCATGCTGTGGATGAGATGAATCAAACGGGGCTTATCAGGTTTCTTCGGATTTAAGACGTCTTCCATGGGTCAAGTCCCCTTAACTGCCTCGTCCTTCATGCTGCACGCAGTCCAGTAAGTCCAAAGCGGATTCCTTTTGAGAGGATTTAGAGGAAATCGCAAGGCAAGCATGTTAGAGAGTGTAGGCTATACATCCCTGTCAACTTATCTTGTGCAACTTCTTGGCAAGAACCCGAAACCCCAAAACGAGACCCTCTACAGTCCATTTAGACTTAGACCCCTTCTAGAACACACCCTTGAAGAGTTTCTAAAGCTGAAAACCAGGTTGTAGTACTTTAAACCCTAAACCCTGTACGACCCGCAGAGTATCGGTGGGAAATCATGGGCCCCTGATTCGTCTTCGGAACAGCGCAGGCGGAGAGGGAGTTCAGCCATGAGCTGCCTGCAGGCGCCTGTGAAAGAGCGTAGGGTGTCTAGGACGAAGGATTCACCCAGACCTTCCAACATTTTTTGCTTAGGAAATATACCTTCAAGTACAGTAATTAGGATTCCTTCCTTCTATCATTTATTCCTTGGTTTGGGATATTGGAATGCCTGGGTATGGCACGAAGAGGGCATTTAGGCCTACAAGGGGTTTTGTAAGAAGCTCTCTTACAGCTTGCTTAGGAGCCACAAGTACCCATGCATTCAAATATTATGCGCTGCAAGTATGGGGTGATACCTGCTGTTTTTGTGGTGTTTGTGCAGCTACAGAGACAGCTCTCGTGTCCTTGTGAAAAATCACTGTCGCGCTTTCCGGTAAACTCAGCGTCCAAGCTATTGTGATGGTTCTTACCATTGATTATCAGCCGTATTTGTATTGCTATGTATTGCTATGTATTGCTATGTATTGCTAGTACGCTTACCATGCTGATTGTTAATGATTCTTAATTGTCATGATTAAGAAGCTTATCATTGTTATTCAATTATGTTGATTGCTATTCTTCTTCTTATTGTCATTATTCTTACCTTTGGTTAGTAGGGAATGGAGGAATGTGATACAATTATAACTACTATTACTACCATTCTTCCATTCCCTACTAACCAAAGGTAAGTATTTGAGAAGCTGAGCCACCCTGCAAAGTGGTATAATAGGAATATAATAGGGCCCTAATATAACCCTATATATTCCTTATATTCACTATTACAGGGTGGGGGCAGCTTCTAAGGTAAGTATTGAGAAGCTGAGCCGCCCGTTTCCCCTTGTTGCCGAGCCAGGAGCGATCGCCTCCTCCTCAGGGCCACTGCAGGAAACTTTGTACCTCACCCTCAAGGATCGATGGGAAACTGGAGGGTTTTGGGTGGTTCAGTAGGGATTAGGGGTTCAGGGGTTTAGGGTTAGGGGTTTAGGGTGCATGGTTTAGGGTTCAGGGGATTTAGGGTTCAGGGGTTGAGGGTTTAGGGTTTCTGCGAGGCTACTGATTACTGTCTCTGTTCTCGCCTTGCCCATTGCTGTGGCTTATGCAGTCTTGATGGGAGACGTCGTCCTGCTCTTGGTGTGCTGGTCATACGAGAGATCCCCAATTCGAATCTGCAGGAGGAAGCTGCCATCACTGATTCTGCCAACATTGCGCAGAGCTACCACGGCCACATCCGCGAGAACGCGCGCTGCTGCTGGGTGTCCTTTCCGGGCAAATATGCTGCAGGCCGGGAATTGGCAGGTAACTCCGACACCCTAAAGCCTAAACCCTAAACCCTTTTCTTGCAGAGCCCTTTTGCTACAATCGGCTCGCGAATGTGACGTTAGTAACCTTGCAAGGTTGGGGAGCCTTGGTGAAGGAGCACCACCAAGACTCCGTGGCCTGCGTCTTTCTTTGCACTCCCGAGGATGGCCCGGGGCCCCAGTGAGGTTTTGCTGACAGGGTTTCGGCTCTTTTGGTATCCTAATGTATGCTATTTGGGGGTCCATAACAAGAGCCTACAAGACAGTGGGTGATGGTAGTTTGACGTAGGTCTGGGGTTTTCTGTGTCAGCGGGTTTTGTTTGCTTTACAGAAGTACTTGGAGGAATGCAGTTTGCAGCCGCATGACAATCAGTATGTCTGCTATCCATGGCGATGTTCCAAGCTTCGTTGCCGCTCTCATCCATGCGTGCCGCACTGTTTTCGATCATTGGGAGAAGCTCTGTTCAGCAATGTGGGTCACTCTAAATCCCTACCTGTCATCAACCGGCTCTATCTGCCGCTTGTTGTGCCTTACTCCATTCTTCTGCAAGTTAGAGACTATTGGAAGACTCAGACGAGCTTGCGCTGACACCTTAAACCCACAAACCCTAAACCCTACAATCCTCCACCCTACATAAACCCAAAACCTACACCCTGCTCCCGAAACTGTAATCGCTAAACCCTATATGAACCGTATACAAACTCTATAAACCCTACAAGCCCTAAGCCCTCATCCCTAAACCCTATCATGAGCCGTATAATCCATAAACCCTCAACCCGAGGTCTCGGCCAACACTCCGAGGATCCGGAGAACCCAGGCAGATGCTTTTGCCAGAGGCAAGGCCTGGGAGGGTGACTTACTTAAAGGATCATGAAAAAAGGGTTCCTCAAAAGGATCTATATGGATTCTATAAGAGGGAATTTAGGGATACTTAGAGGATCATGGGACTTAGTAACTAGAGTTATAATTGCGGTACCTATACTTATAACTTATAACTATAACCCAGTCATGGTACTTATGACCTTACTTACTAAGTCCCACGATCCTCCAAGTGCTTACCTTTGGTTAGTAGGGAATGGAGGAATGGGGTACAGTTATAACTATTATTACTACCATTCTTCCATTCCCTACCAACCAAAGGCAAGCTTAGCTGACACTAAAACCTAGACAGATTCAGATCCTGCTGACTATATAACATGGGGAAAACATGTAGTATGGCATTTTTTAATATCAGATGACATGGTTCGGGATGGTATGATACTGTATGGTATCGTATGATATCATATGATATGATGTGGTATAATCTGTAAAACAAGAGTCCCTGTAGATCCCGGCAGGATTTACGGAGTGCGCGACTTCCGACAGTTCGGATATCTCATGGTCCTGCAGCCGCCCTACACGCCTGAGCGGGTTCGCAGGCATGAGGGTGGGCACTGTAAGCCTGGGTGCTTCGCTGTCAGAATTTGTGGGTTCGGAGTGTGCTTGCGGGGGGCTCTCGCAGGCACGAAGAGATGGCGGCTGCGATGAATGCGGTGGTCCTGCGAGCAGATGCAGCTTGGCATTGAGCTATGTATAAGTTTTCTGGCACCTTATTTGTCGTTGCCGGATGCAGAGCATGACTAGGGCTGTCGGTCATCCCGCCGAGGCAAGCCTGTCCGAGAAGGAAGAAGCCTTCAAGCAGGCGGAAGCTCAATGGCAGGAGTGCGGCCGCGTGGCCTCCTGGGGATGTGCCTGGTATCCGACTTGGCTCGCTCGAGTCCGTGAGGCTGTGGCCAAGGGGCAGCGGCTCAAAGCGGTTTTCTTTCCAGGCCAAGTGGGGCAGGGCAAGCTGTCCATGGAATCGCTCTCCCGCGACACAACCGATCTTTGGGACAATGTCGGATGTGGCGGTTCGCAGAAGTGCGAACTCGCAACCCTCGACAGGCTGCAGAAACTGGAAGGCAGCAAATGGGACTACGATGAAGTCGATGTCTCTGACTTCCTGGGATCTGAATTCACTGCCGGCTGTCCCGTCTATGCCAAGACGGAAGGCAAGGGAAGAGACGAATGGCGCAGAGGTGTGTTAGTGATGCAGAAGATGCGTGGCAGGGATCTTGTTTAGGAAATTGTCTTGAAGTTACCATAGTTGGGGTTTATAGTAAAACAATATATAGTTTCCTTATCATGGTAACGCGAGCTTTCAAATCCTTAGCAAGAATCCTAGGTGATCCCAGAGATGACAGAATCTCCTGGAAGGTGCGATGTGAGAAGACGCAGGAGTCGGATGCCCGCCGAGGGCCAAGCCTTTCAATACCTCACTCGCCACCCCCAACCCGCTACAGTAAACTTCTGGTCCTGCGGCACTTGCTGCAAGTTTTTAGAATCTAGAGATGGCGCACGGGGCGCTAGAGTCGCTCCAGAGCGGCTGGAGACCCTGCAGGAGACCTTCGAAGCAAGCGATCTTCGCCACGCGAGCGTGTCCATCGAGCAGATGCAGGAAGCCTGCGGTCCCTGAAATGCACCGACGGAATTTCAGGGGACACGGGGATGGGGTTCAGCTAATCTTAACTCGCAGATTTGCTCGCAGCCTGCCACGCTGTGAGAGCTACGTTTGTGTATATGTGGCATGCATATGTATATAGTATATGTGTATACATACGTAGTGTTGCATTATGTTATGTTATGTTGTGCTATGTAAGTGTCTAATTATGTCATTAATTATGTATATTTATGTATTTATGAATGTATGTATGTAGTTATATATGTATGTATATATGTATGCATGTATGTATGTATGTATGTACGCATGTATGTACACATACATACACATACCGATATGTATATATGTATATATATATATATATATATATATATATATATATATATATATATTTGTATATACATAGCAACATATACATATGTGTACTGAGTAAGCTTAAGTGTATAATACATATATACCTACATATTCATGTTCATGCATATGTCTTCAGGTGCGGACAGCTCATTGCAAGGTAACGTGGCTTACTGCTGCGTAGTGTACTTCATGCGGTGTAATGCCACCCACGATAGTGCAAGCCAGTGCAATGTGATGCAACCTAATGCACAGTCACGCAGTATAGCTATTGGAAAACACTTTTCATGCCACGCACTGTCATGTGACTCATGTGATGCTATGTACTGCGCCGGAAGGTACTGTAATGTTCAATGCACTGTCATGCGTTGGAACATATAGGTATTACACCGCCTTTCCGCGCATTGTACTGATTGCATGCGTTGCAATGCCATGGAATGAAAAGAAATGCATTCAGCGAGGAAGGCAGTGCCATGTAATGTATGTACGGTTAGGTAAGGTAAGATAAGGTAAGGTTCGGTGAGGCGCTGTGACCTACTTCTTCGATGCACTCAGCTGGGCTTGCAACGAATATAGACATGTTGAGCGACTGAGGTCATGATGTCCTGCTGGAGTTGTTGAGTACATGCCTATCGGGCACACAGATCACAGCTCATGAAGCAGCAAGGCTGCCCACAGGTGCCCAAGCGCTCCGCGCCACGCTACGGATCTCAAGCATAATGGAGCTGCACTCATTGAGGGACAGCGTGCTGAACGGAGACTTCGAGCGGCGCTTCAACGCGAAGCTGGCCAGCAAAGCACCAACGTGCAAGGTGGAAGTAGACAAAAAGCGCTTCTTCGAACTCTACGAGGATAGCCTGTTTGCGTTGGAGTCTTTGACGTCTCATCAGCTGCACAAGCTGGGCGAGATGCAAGGAGCGACCCAGGACATTCATCTGAGTGCCCCGGCTGGAGCCGGAAAGACCTTCGTAGCAGTGCAGCATGTCATGGACACTCTGCGCGAAAACCCTTCCGGAACAGTTCTGTTCGTGGCGCCATCTGAAGCTTTAGGCCTTCACTTTTTGCGTTGGCTGGCGACCCGGGTCGCAGCACAAAGCCCCAAAGGTGATGCAGCTCTCGGCGCCAAGATCCGTCACGTCCTTTCTCGCCTGAGGCTTTTGCATGAGCCGTACAAGCACATGTTGGCACCATCGCTGGATGGGGACCGCATCGTCCGCCGGCAGGAGAGCATCGGTCCACAAGACTTTCAGCTTGCGGTCTGCGACGAGTGCCATCGGTACCTGCACAAGGACTCCGACGTTGGCGAGATGATTGAGGGCAAAATAGCGGCACGTCGGCGGCTTTTGCTGTCCGACGACTCTCAGTCCTCAGCCATCAGCCAGAGCTACCCGGAGATGCAGAGGGTCAAACTGACGGAGGTGGTCCGGAGCACCAAACGCATCGTCGCCGGAGCGGCCTCCTTCCAGCTGCACACGGACACCGAGGAGACAGTGACGTCCTTGGGGACGGACGGCCCGCCTCTGAAAACATTCCTGTTTCAACTCGCAGAGCACAGCAAGAAGTTCGAGGAGTATGCCCGGGAGATCGCGAAGGCCGTGACGTACGTCGAACAGGTCCTTCCGGGTGTGTCGCTACACCGCCGAGTAGCAATCCTGACACCCAGCGTGGACTTTCTCGATCAACTCCGCCCGATCCTGCAGAAGAGTCTAAACCAGCAGTTGTTGCATCACTCCTTCCGCATGGAGTCTTTCTCAGACTCACTTTCGTGTCTCCCGGAGAGGGTACTGGGATTGCGCCCACAGGCGCCGAAGACGCACGAATACCTCATCCTGGATGCAATGGAGCAGGCAGACGGTCTGGAACAGATGGTCGTGATCTGCGCAGGGCTCGACTCTGCCATCCGGAGCTCAACGGAGGACTTGCAAACTCGGGCACAGCTCTACCGCGGCATTACTCGAGCGCAGCTTCTGGCAGTTGTAGTGACTTGTAGTGGCACTTTGGGAGAGTGTTGCATCTGCCTATTTTGCGTCCGCAAGAGTTGTGTCTCTTTCATCAACAGTTTGGGGCCTTAAAAGACTATACCAAAGGTGAACGAGCATGTGCGCGGTGGCTGGCTTGAGTTCCTCGGCGGGGTGAAGTATCAGGATGCGGAGCTGTCGGCTCGGGAGGCCGACTCCTCAAGCGTGGCGGAAGCCGCGAAGAAGAGGCACCAGGCCGCCCTGGCCCGGGCCAAGGCGGAGGGGAGTCGCAGCCGACAGGATGAAGCAGAAGCACGGCAGATGGAGAGCCATCCCGATGCAGTCCACGACGCAGCCCAGGATGCCTCTGCATCGCCCCCGGGAACAGCGGAAGCCTCCAGGCCCAAACCCAAGGCTGCAGCGGTGAAGACCTCGAGCGTCTGGAACACGGAGAGCAACAGCATTCCGGCGCCCACGGAGCTTCTCTTCGACCCGTTGGCAGAGGCGGGCCGTTTCCTGTGCCAGGCTTGTGCGAGACGGCGCGCACATTTATACATGAAGACAACCGAAGAGGCAACGAGGTGACTCTCAATGTGCACAAACAGCGTGCAACGCGCGAAATGCACCGCTGACATGTTTCTCTTTTCCAGCACGACAAATTGGCAGCATCGGGCGAGGGATCCGACAGGAGGGAAAAAGAATTGAAGTATGAGGGAGCGCAAATAGAGCAGATTTTCTTCCTCCCGAAGGTACCCTGGTGTGAGAGTTCACAAATGTACACGGCAGTGCTTCTTTGTCCCTGCGAGGGAGATATTCCAGCAAATGTGCCTCTCTACCCGAGCCCCGTGTGCAGCTGGAGCTCCCGTAGCCGCAGGTTTCCCGGGAGGAAGTGTATGCCACCTTCGACAAGGAGCCACTCGGTGAAAGTCCCCGCAGCTCCTCTCCTACAGGCGGATCGTAGAGTCGTAGAGTCGTGTCCGTGCTAGACCATCTGGCAGATCTCGGTTGGTTCCTTCCCTTTCTGATGTAAAGACTCCAGGCTAACGACCAGGCGACCAGGCCGCTCAGGGGTCTTGTTGCCATGCTTACTCCAGGGACTTAATGACTGCAGCAGCTCTGTACACACGAGAAAAAAGCAGCCGGAGCACCCCCGAGCCTCCAAGTCCGCTCCCCGGTTGGGCAGAGCCCCACTGGGCCATCGCTTCAGCTTGACTTCGGGTCTGCAATGCTCACGGCGATGCTTTGTCGCCTCGACCCTTCGGTCTCCGAGGCACGGCGGGCGCCATGACTGGAAATTCGACGGCGATGACGCGAAATGTGTTAGCGACTCGGCACGGAAGCAGCCGCAGCCTTCGGGTTCAGGCTGCCACCCGTCGAGGAGGGCTCGGCTCGACTTAATAACGGGCGGGAGGCAAAGTTCGTCGCTCGGGGTTGAGTTCGGGCCTTTGCGAGGGATTCAGCTTTTGGTAGGTCAGCTTCGGCTTCCTTAGGATGCAGCGGACGTGACTTCCTCGCACTAATAGTCGTCAAGATGATTTCGTCGCCGGAGAAAAAATGCCGGATCAGCTACAAAGCATCTGCAAGAAGCGACGGACGTTTCGTGTTGCATGCGCTTACGAGTGCGTATGTTTACGCATTCGAGCCGCCATGCTGTCAGAAGCGTCTCACGGGCCAGGCTACGGAGCCAGACTGTCGCTCGACTGCAGCCAGAGATTCTCGCTGGCTGAGGAGTTTGGCGTGGGTTGGCACATGCCCTCTACATCTCCGGAAGTCCCCGGAAGGCCCGCAGACACGCCCATCGGCTCAGGCTCGTGAGTGCCGAGACGGCGTCCACGGGGATCCTGCGCTGGCGCCTGGGCGGCAGGGCGAAGTTCACAAACCTTCGGAGCGCTCGGCCTTGAGCTCGAGGTGCATCAAGGGCCTCAACAGTGCTTTGGAGGTGGGCGTCATCCCTGCGCGGGAAGCGGAGGATGCGCCTCGGAGCGAAGACGTGCAGAGCTCTTTTTTTCGAACTCTCTGCTCGGGGACTTCTGTCGGACCCGCAGGGTTCCCGGGTGACCTTGGAGCGTTCCCCCTTCGCCGTCCCTCCGCCCAGGACCGCTTCCTGCACGAGAACCCGGGCTACGGCATCAAGTCGAAACAGACGCGCGGCGGTGATCACCCAGTCGCTTGCAGGCAGAGAGGCCTGTATACCATTTCAGGTTGACGCAGGCCTTCAGCAGGAGCTGACGTACGGAAAGTTCTCCCAGCAGTGTTGGATGCATCCCCTGAGGCCCCGAGGCCCTGAAGTGAAAACGCCGCGTGAACCACAAGCTGATGCAGCCAAGGCTTTTGACATCTACGGAAAGTCCGCTCCTAAGAGCGCAGATGGACCATCACACGCAGTCTCACGTGTAATGTCTGAAGAGCTTGCCGCCGGGGGGATGGACTTTCCAGACACTTCCGTCTGCTCAAAGTTGATCGTTTTCCTCCCCATTGTTTGTGGCAGGTACATCGAGGTGATCGCGGACCTGGACGCTCGAGTGGCCAAGGCCAGATTTCCCGGTGGGCAGTGCAAGCCTTTCTACGAAGGGGTCCGAACTTGAAAACAAATTCACCAGTGGCCTTCGTTGCCGGGCCAGTTGTTTCAGCTGACAGTGAGTTCGGAGAATTTGCGTCAGCTCAGCCGCGCGGACTGCAGGTCATGGTCGGAGAGACCCGAGAGCAGATGCTCGAGGTGCCGCCTTGGCTTTCTGTTCAAGTTTGTCGGTGTCGTTCGGAGTCAGCTTCAGCCTTGAATCCTGAAGCCTCGAAAACGCAGCTCAGGTGACTTCCTTCGACATGCCTTTCCAAGGCGATGCGAAGCTGGCCGCATGCCAGCAATTCATGAGACGGTGGTTGAAGTTCTTGGAGCTATTCCTTCTCGGAAGTTGGGTTTCCAGCCGGTGTAATTAACTAATTACCCGGTCGGAGAGTTTTGGCTAGATTGGTGGGAACGCAGTGCGGGGGCTGCACCGTCGGAGAAGCCCACAGAAAGCGGGCCTTTTGCAGACTGCACCTTTTCTACAAGTTCTTCTGCACTTGCTTGTTCGATCCGGGGATCAGCCTGTTTCACTTTTTCGGCCTTCAAGAGTTAAAGGCACGTGTTGTCACCTACTGTAGCTCGCCGCGGTGACAGCTCCACTTGTCAAGGCGATCACCGGCTTTGGCACCAAGGCGTGCTCGGTTTCTTGCGTGTGTGTGTTCCGGCTTTGCTTTACTTCGCCTTCGTCCGGATGCGGCGGGAAGGGAGATTTGACATCCTATGATTCCTCCTCACATGCCGCCACGGATACCGAGAAGTGGGCAGTTGTCGGATGGAGGGTCCTTTTGGGGTTTAGGGTTTAGGGTTTAGGGTTTAGGGTTTAGGGTTTAGGGTTTAGGGTTTAGGGTTTAGGGGCCTTGCGGCACATCTGCTTCCTACAGTCTGCAGCCTGCGACAGGTGAAGTGGTTGCCACCCATTTCATGCAAGGAGCTCAGCTTGTTGTCACATCCGTTCTGCTTGGTTCACATGTTCAGATCGGAAGGGCACACGTCGAGCCTTGGGCTGATGGCCAAGACACCATTTTCATCGGATAAGCAAGTGCGTTAGTTTCGTGTCGCTGTGTTGGCTTGCGGAACGGGTTTTGAATGCAAAGGCCTGTCGAGTGGCACGTGGGAAGGGAGTCGTCGGTTCAGTTCCTCAAGTTAGGGGCTTAGGGTGAGGTTGTCCGTGGCCCGGCTGGCAAATCATGAGGGAGGCCTGCCTGGGCCGAGTCGGACAAGCATGGTTAGGTGCAGAACGAGAATCCGAAGAAGTTCAGAGCGCTCTCATCAAATTGGAATGTGGCTTCGACTGGGGCCTTACAGTATATTCAAGATCTAAGCCATGTCAAGAAAAAACTTGGGATCCGGCTGAACCTTGGACTGCTTGGCCTTCGAGAAATTAGTCCCGGGGAGGGTGGAGGAACAGCTCCCGCCAAGGATGCTGGGAACCAGCCGCCTGGGCAAGGACAGAGTCTGAAGCTGTGAGGCTGCTGAGGTGCAAGCGTTTTGCTCGCACAAGCAGCAGAGTTCCTGATTCTACGGCTTTTCTATGCTTGTCTGCAATAGGCAGAAGAGGGCATGAAATCCAGCTGGGATCGCAGCAGAGGCTCCATCTTGCTTCGCAGAAGCTGTAAGCGAACGGCAAGGATACCTGTAGTTCCGAGTAAACAACCCGCAAGCTCGACATGTTTATTTTTAGTGGGGCTCAAACCCGAAGCCCTAACCCTCAAACCCAAAACCGAAGCTATCTCGTCACTCGAAGTGAGTTCGGGGGCTTGGAAGTTGATGCCTTGCCTTTGCGAAGTCTTGGAAGTTGATGCCTTGCCTTTGCGAAGTGCTCCTGAGACCTCTTGCCCTAAAGCTTTAAGATCGGGCTCTCAGGGTTCAGGGTTCAGTTGAAGTGACGTGTGGACTTAGGGTAAGTAAGCACCCATCAACGCTGGACCTCCGCAGCGATCGCAGGCTTGCTGTATCACCCGGAATAGGTTAGAAATCTGCGGAACGCTCGCAGATCTGGTTGCTACATATACCCGGAACAAAACAGGGCCTTTGCAAAACCTCGGGGCTTGCTGTGAGTTGCTGCGAGCAGGAGGTTCGTGTCCGCGGGGGTCCTCAAGAAAGGTGGTCGCGGCTATCCGAGGTAGAATCTTTGAGGCCCTTTCTATCAGACAGGGTTCTTGGATTGAGCCCACAAGCGCAGACGAAGCAAGAAAGCCGCGTCGCGGATGCTATGCAGCACGCGGACGGTCGGGAGCAGATGTTTGTCATCTGCCCAGGTGCCGTCCAGATCTAAACAGAGTATTTGTAAACTCGGCCCAACTCGTCGCCCCATCGTGGTAAGTGAGCACATGTCCGGCGGATGGTTTGGGCTTGGGTTTTTGGGCGGTGTGAAATACCAGGATGTGGAGCTAACGGACCTTAACCCTGCGACATTACTGCTCAAGTCACCCACGGAGCCGCGCCCCTTGCTTGGCATTGCCGTGGAGATGCGCGGCATCCCGGACAGGACGAAGAAGAAGAAGGCCCACTCGTGGGCAAAGTGTTGTTTTCCAGAGAGGTTGGTTGGTTGGTTGGTTGGTTGGTTGGTTGGTTGGTTGGTTGGGGTGTGTCTTTGTCATGCGAAAAGTAGTGAGTTGAAAGATACGCCTTCGGCCCAATCTCCAGTGTCTTGATCCTGTGTGCTTTTGCCAGGGCCAGTACAAGCGAAAGAGGGCACAAGTGACTTGGATCGCCAGCACCAAAAAATGGACTAGAGCATCGACGCTATCACCACTCAAGCGTGGATTCTTTGGCCTCAAAAACGATTAGACCGAGGTTCTCACGGCTCGTGCCTGGATGCTCTGATTTCAATAAGGGCCTGGATGCTCTGATTTCAAGAATGGTTAGCCCATGGACACGATTCGGACAAGGATGCTCTTACTTCCAACCGATTAGAGAACGTTACCACGACTCGCGCCTGGATGCTGACATCAAACAGGGTTAGGCCGTCGTTATCGCGGTTCGGGCATGGATGCTCTGATTTCAATAATTGGTGAGTCCAGGGATGTTAGCCACGGCTCGGGCAAGGATGCTCTGACGATTATGGCATGGACATTATGACGGTTCGGGCATGGAGGCTCTGACCTCAAAAAGTGTTACACAGACGTTATGATGTTTCGGGCATGGATGCTGCGGTTTCTATCGCGGGATAGCCCATGGATGTCAGCCACGGTTCGGGCAAGGATGCTCTTATCTCCAAACGGCTTAGATGAGAGCATTGACGTTGTCGTGGTTCGGGCATGTGTGCCCTGGCCTCGACACGGATTTGAGCATGGGTGCACCGAACTCCAGAGGGATTAATGAGGCTCCTTGCCGAAGGAAGCGGAGCTGTTCAGAGAAGCTGCTCTATAAACTATAAACCCAAGACCTACAATCCCTCAACACCAGCATCGTAAAGCCCTTAGATCCGCAAGAATAGATTACTTCATCCCATGACTTGCAGGCTGCTTGGAGGCTCTTTTGGTCTACACTCATCCCCAGGGTCAATAAAGCCCACAAGCCTTGAAGTATTCCTGCAAGTCAATGGCGCATCCCCGTATTGAACACCAAATCCCTGAAGCCTTGACTCCTACACAATCACAAGAGGCCTCAGCATCTGCCTCCGAGCCGATGAAAGTGAGTGCCTGGTTTTCAATGTCAAGGTTACCTGAGCGAGAGATAGAAAAATCGAAGCCCCAGAACCCATTCCTAGCCTAGTCTCATCACATCTGCAGATCTTGAGCACCGGAGAATCAGCAGGCATCATGAAGGTCAGAGTCATGGCCTGACTTGAAAACGGAGCTTAGCGGCAAAGGCTGGGGGAGTATATAAACACGTTTCAGATCGGGCTCCTTGTTGCGATCGGTTGAAGTGACCTGTCGACTTAGGGCAAGCACCCTTCAACCCTGGACCTCTGCACCGATCGCAGACTTGCCGTTCACCTATAATATGGCATATAGTTCTGCGGAACAAATGCAGATTCCTCAAGTTGCTCCTGGCACCAAAGACCAGCAAGGCTCTGTGAAGGAGATTCGTGTCGAGGGATGTCCGCGAGAAAGCTGCTGGTGGTATCTGGAGTGCAGGTGCGAACGTGCTTACATCGTAAGAGCCTCCATTGCACCCCACATCGCCGGAGCGACGGCACCTTGGCTGCGAGAGTGGCCTGCCAAACCCGGCAAACATAGCCGTACTGCTCAGAGGTTGAAGCCTATAGCTTTCCACCCTTCACGTTGTTTGAGGTTCGCAACTGCACAGCATCTTTCACCCATGCAGCACACCTGGACTACGCTCCGGAAGTACGTCTGAATGCCTCTAAAACCCTACTAGTTACCAGGCCCATAGATATGTAACCCCCCGAAGCCTCCTTAGGCGTTTGGAGCTCCGGAAACCTCCTTTGTTTTGGAGCTCCGAAGCCCCAAGCCAGCGCTGCAAAAGCCTCGTTCCAACATCGATGGCGCCGTCGACCACGGCTTGGGCGGCCGCGAGCTCTGGGACAAATTCAAGGGTTAAGGACTTTAAATGGGATTTAGGCTGTAAGGTTGCGTAGACTAGTGGAGGTTTCGGGTTTAGAGTCGGAATTAGAATTAGGGTTTAAGGTATGCGTTTGGCTGAGGTTCCAGGGTAAAGGGAACTTGGACAAGTTTCGAGAACAGGTTTATTGTATTCTATAGAGCGTTGGCACCTAGGGTTTTGGTTCTGCTGCCTCAACGTTGGATCTAGATCGTGGGCTATTCGGGCATCCGGCAAAAAAAATGAGGCTCCCGATCGGTCAGTCCCTATCTTATCAACCCTAACATGTTAAAGCCTGTTCAAAGAATCGTAAACCACCAGATCTTACAGCCCTACCGTAACCCACCAAAGCCTACTTTGTGTCTGTGGGGCAGATTGGCGCCTTATGAGGGTGTGCAGAATCAGAACCTACCAGAAAGTAGTTTATGACGGTAGTTTAATGTACAGGTATAGAAAACCGAAACAAAGGTTTGTCCCTGGATAACGTTTGTGACGGAGGGCTTGGAAGGGGCCAACTGGTCAAGGTCTCAAGACAGCCATCTGCAAGATTCCATTTCGATCGTTTGGCATTGCAAAAATTGAGGTTTGGGGTTGGGGTCCTGGGTTGTGGTTCGATGAAGTTTCCCGAAAACTAACTGAGGTTTTTACTGTTCCTAAACTGTCTCGATAAACCCTGCGTCAGGCCCGAAATTCGGAACCCCGTAGAAGCCGCTCATCTTGCGCCGCAGCCGTGTTCGCCTCGGAGGGGCGCCGTTCCCAAAAAAGAGAGAACCCGAACTCCGAGCTCCGGGCCGACCGTCCCCAAGAGAGCTCCCGAAGCCGGGGAGGAGGGGTTGGGAGGAGGCCGGGGAGCGAAGGAGGGCCGTTCCTTGCGATGGCTCTAAGAGAAGGCCTCGATCGAGTTCTCGAGGAGCGGGGGCATGGGAAGAGAAGGGAGAGGAGGTTAAAAAGGGGGCGCTTCTATAAAGGTTTTGTTTTATAGGGATCTATATCGGCAATGTAGGAAAGGAGGGGTCCTGCGGGGGGTACTTTTGAAGGGTGGTTGCGGACTTTTGCACACGTCGCTTCGAGCAGCCAGAGTGCAGGGTCGAAATTGCACCAGCAGAGGTTTTGAGACCATTTTTTAAAAGGTTGTCTATGAACTCCGTATAGGCTTTGTGGAGCCGCAGTATAGAGGATGTATCTAAGGAGCCACATGGAGGTCTCTGGATTTCTCACATCCCTGAATCTTCGCATTTTCAGCTCCCAAGCCCCAAACCCTAAACCCACGAGTCCTAAACCGTAAACCTCTATTAAACACATGAGCCCCAAAAGCCTGAAACCTAAGCCTTTGCCTTGTTGGCTCAGGTCTGTGGGGCTCCTGGGCTTCGCCAGGCCCAGCTGGCGGCGGGCTCAAGATTGCGCTTCTGGACTTAGAAGCAGCAGCATCCGTAAACTTCGTCTTGCTTTGAGTTTGCGATCGGGTTTCAGAGCGAAAGCTACGATAAGCTTCCAGAAGCATATATAGAAGCTTAGGAACTGGCTTT